TCATATTTGAAAGTGTTACTTCTTTGATGTTGCACAGCTTTTTTCCAGAGTCATACTCTCTTATTTCATCCTTTAAAAACTTCATCAGGTTTTTGTATTGGATGAACTCCATTCAGTGTATTGATTTAAGATGATTTTGCTGTTTTTTTCCCATTTAATCTCTGGTGCAATGTGATCACTTGCATTCTGAAAGTGTGAACAGGGTAGAAGGGCAAGCACACTTGGGCAGCTGACTCAACTATGGTAATCCTTGTTTTCCTGTATATTTTTATATATTTTAGTATATTTATCAAATGTATCATGTTACATGTCTGAAAAGAATTAGCATCAAGAAGCATTGCTCATTCTATGTAGCAGATGGACCAGACTGATGACTGCTTCTTAGCATTATCTTTTACACCTAAAATACCCTTCACAATCTCCTTGTGTTTGAAATGGGGTAAGTAGGTAAGAAATACCAGTAACATTTAGTTGGAGGGAGTAGAGGTACTGTAACAGGAATTTGTGCAAACTAGAATATGAAATTATTAAGGTGTGAAATGTGTTAAATATGTTTATCCAAATTCTTCCTATTCTTCCCTTGCGGTGGTGAGCAGTACTACCTGCATTAATCGTTCAGCTGATTAAAACACCTTCTTCCTCCTTCACTTTTACCTAGGCATAAAGCCAGGCATATTATTAAGCTATGAGAGTTTTCCTTCCCCTCCCATTTTACCAATTCATATGTAGGTGTTACTGACCTGTTATTGTTTACTTGTGATGATCGTACCATTAGTTCTTCAAATTCCTTGCACTAAATAGCTTTCCCCTACCCTTAAAATGGAAAGGATACTTCTGTGCTAAGTAGGCTACTGATGAGAAGATTGAATGTCTCCAGTGTTGTTAATCAGTGAATTAACTTTGAGTGTTCACTTTAGTGCTGAAGATACACGCTCAACTGAGATTTACCTTCCCCAGATCAGATTCAGCACTGCCAAGAGATTAACTAGTCTGTGCTAGTGTTGTTTCTGCCTATCTGTCTAAGTTGGACCTGCTGCTTATAAGATCTGTTCACTCCAGTTTGTATGCCAAACTAGTTTCGGCCAAGATGAAAGTACTAAGTTACTGATACAGTTCAGTCCTTTGTCTGGATGCAGTTACACCAGTTTAAAGTATCGTATATCGTTTTCTGACAGGAATAAATAGTACCATGTATAAGCTTAACGCTGTAAAATATATCAAAATTTGTGGATTGTGCTAGTTTGTTTTAGATCCAGGCACACTTTAAAAAACTGTACAAAAATTAAATTGTACAACAATTACAAAAAACTGGTAACCAGCCTTCAAAGGGTAGTTGAATTTGCCTCTGTTTATGATTATCCTTTTTATACTATCTAGTATCTACAGGAAGGCAACTTGCTTCCGTAGTTCTGCCTCTAAATTTACATGCAGAGTTCTAATTTTCATGTGCTTTTTAAGAGATTGTTGTATTTTTTGAAGAGGCTTGATCATATTTTTCAGTGGCAGTGATTAAGAAACTACTGTTTTTCCTTTTTAATTGTGTATAGCCTTACACCATCAAGCTGTTTCTTAAAAGCTAGACATTATGACTTTTGAGGAAAAAAGGCTGATTCAATTGATAACTCTTCTCTACTTGCTACAACAGAGTGTTATGCTTCAATGGCTTGTGAGTTTTGTCAGTAACAGTAAAATTAGAGAGTTGGTGTCACTTTTGGACAGAGAGGGGGAAAAGAGAGACATGGAAATGATGGGATGCAGGGAAAACAGGCATGCAGTGGGACTTCTAGAACAGATAACTATTGATTTCATTCTATTTCATAAGAAAAGGTAAATGTCACAGAACTGTGAAGAGAGACAGTTTCCACAAAAATCCGTAGGATATTTGAAATCATAATCATTTTAAGGTGACATCCTTGGCTCCAGTGAGGCCAATAGCAAGCTTCCCATTGAAGGTGCTGAGGTCAGTATTTCGTCCTGTCTGTCCATATGGGCTCAGCTTACTTCCTTACGCATTATATACCACTTTTCTCCTGTCATCTATCTCAGGACATATTAATGGTGAAATATGAACAGTATATGTAGTCTTGTTCAATAAGAACTAGCAAAGCTGGTATTTCCTCCATTTTAATTGTTTTATTAAGTGAATTTAATATGTTTCGATCCCACTTGTTTTTTTCTGCATCTGTATCTTACATATGCCATCTGTTTTTTAGCAGACTATGACTCCTAGGCCTGTGTCAAAAGCTCTAGTTATCTATCCTGACTTTGAATAAAGAAAAATATTGGTACTCTTTTGTAGCAAAATTGCATTTGCATATTAAACTTCCAAACTACCTAGGTAAAGGACAGGAATACCATCCTCCACAGAGTATATTTATGTGTATGTGTATATTTAGGTGTATGTGAATGCTTAGGTGTATGTATCTTAAGACAAAGCGCTTTCACTTATGAAATCCCGCTTTCCCCTTTTTTACTGTGCTGCTTCTTCTGTACAGGAGCACATGGCACATTAATTCATACCTATGTACATTGTGTTTGTATGTTGGCAAAATGAGGAGGAGTGCATGTGCATGTTTGCTTCTGTGTTAAGCCATTAACTGAAATTTGTATCTTTACCTCACATGCCAAGTAAATCTGCTTTCATCCAGGCTGCAACTATGTTTTGACTCACCTCTTCCACAGGTGGCTGTGGTGTCTTTACCTAAGACATTATATGAACAGGCGTCTATTTACACACGTCGTACTACTTCACTTACATGCTGTGCTTTCTGTGCTTTATCATGTTCTCTGCTGAGCTGTTCTTTGGAAGCATTCTTTGGATTGTTATGATACAAAAGTGCTATACATTCTTGGATGAAACATCTTTACCTACATCATTTTGGGGGCTGATCTACATCCAGCTGCTTATGGAGAAAAGATAGTGATGAATCTGTGAAAGTAGACAAGCAAGAACCCCAGATGCTATCATATCCCAGTAGCCGGAACAACTGATATTTGTGAAGATCTAGCTGTTTAAGATGGCCAGCACACTGGGATGTTCAAAATAGTGCCAAAATTTTGTATCCTCCTCAAGGGAGGATTGGACTGTGGGGAAAATCTGGGCCCATTGATCAGTGGGGCAGGAAGCCTAGTGACAAAGAACATAGAAAGGCTGAGGTACTCATTGCCTTTTTTGCCAAGGTTTTTGCTGGTAAGGTAAAGGGCCTCCCAGGTCCCTGAGCCTAGTAGCAGAGTATGTGGGAGTGGAGCATTATCCGTAGTAGGTAAGATATATTTAGGGAGCACGTAAGTCAGTTAGACATACAGAAACCCGTGGGACTAGATGAGATGCTGAAGGAGCTAGCTGATGTCATTTCAAAGCCACTATCATCTTCAAAAGGTCATTGGGAAAGTTCCCTAATGACTGGAAAAAAGCAAGCACCACTCAAGAAAGGCGAGAAAAAAGAGGACTGCAGGAACTACAAGCCAGGTTAGCCTAACCTTGCTTCCCGAAAGGTTACGAAGCAAATCCTCCTGGAAGTTTTGTCCAAGCAGATGAAGGGCAAGAAGGTGATTGGGACTGGGAGCAGTCACCATGTGGTTACCACAGGCAAATCATACTCCATCAACAAGATTGCTTTCTCTGATACAATGACTGGCTGTATGAACAAGGAGAGAGCAGTGGATGTTGTTTTGCCTTCACCTTAGCAAGGCTTTCAGCATGATCTTCCAGAGTAACCGCATAGCCAAACTGATGATAACAGCAGATGGAAAATAGGCTAAACTACTGGGCTCGAACAGGCTGTGATAAGCAGTTCCAAGTCCAATTGGGAGTAACTATTTTAGGACCCGTAGTGTATAATGTCTGTTAATGATTGGGACAAGAGCATGAAATGCACCCTTGGCAAGTCTGTCGTTGATAGAAAACTGGGGAAGAGTGGTCAGTATGCTGGAGGATAGCACTGCCTTTCACAGGGACTCTGACAGGCAGGAGGAACGGACAGGAACCTCATGAAGTCGAAGAAAGGCAAGTGCAAAGTTTTGTATCTGGGATGGAATAATTCAGTGCAACAGGGCAGGCTAGTGGCCAGCTGTCTAGAAAGCAGTTTTGCTTGTGGACAAGTAGGTTTCAGCAGTCGGCTCTTGTGATGAAGGATGCTAGCTGCAGACTGGGCTGTACTAGCAGGAGTGCAGCCAGCTGGTCAAGGGAAGTGACTCTTCTCTATTCAGCAGCTGTGAGGCTGCATCTGGAGTACTGTGCCCAGTCTGGGCCTCCCCATACTGGAAAGACTGACATATTGGAGCCAGTCACCAAGAGGGTGGTCAAAGAGAGGCTGTGAAATCTCCATCCTCGGAGACATTAGAAACTCAGCTGGACACGGTGCTGAGCAACCTGACCCGGTTGGACTTGCTTTGAGTGGGGGCATCCAGGGATGACATCCAGAAGTGTTTTGCAACCTCCATTATACCCTTTGGCTGAAGTATATTTCTTCAGATTTGGCCGCTCAATAGCACGTATTTATTCGCCGGGGGGAGGGGATGGGGCAACACCCCAGCGTGGGTGGGCGCAGGTGCTGAGTCCCCGCTGCCCGGTGGGAGGGCTTGCCGGGAGCTCCCGGCTTGCCGGCCGTTTCCACGAGCTGGCCCCGATGCTTAAAATTTGCCGGCAGCGGCTTCTGGGGGCTGACTCGGGAGGCGGCGGGGGCGCTCGGCGTTGCCTT